ATGACGATGTACGACGAGCGTACGTACACGGACAGGAAGAAGGGACGAAAAAAAAAAAAAGAAAACATATACATATACACAGCGGTCGTGTCGTGAGTTCTGAATGAGCCAGAGGCTTTGTAGGCCCCCGAGGCGGTGTACGAACTATGAATGAACGAGTGAATGAATACAACCTGCGCCAACAACCATCATCCATCCCCTCCCCTCCTCTGCACGCCTTTTTCCCTTTTCATCCCTCCACGACGATCCTCTACTTCGCAGGATCCTTCATCCCCGACTAGACACGCTTGTTCCACGTTGGCCTCGCGCACAATTCTCCAATCGTGGCGCATGCTCGTTTCGATCTCCTCGCACCCCGACTTTACGCAAGCACTATTTACTTTTCGCCCCCAGAAATCTTTCGAAGCTTTCTTAGAATTAGGCATCGATTGTCGATCGAAACGAAACTCTGGTTCTCGAGTCTTCGACAATTTTGAAATAATAATTTTCGAGCTACGCGAACGAATATATGTAGTATAATTTAGTTGTTCGGTTAACTCTATGGAACCTTGTGAAATTCTAATTACGTATGCGGGAGGGAACCGTTTGGAAAGCTGTGTAATAATTTCTTACACCATCTTCGATCTTCTTCTCTTTCAAAGGATATCGATCCCCCCGTTTAAACGAGCTTCGATCGAAATCCACTCCATTTCCGACTCGTTCCAGTGACATCCAATATCCTAAATATCGAGCAACCCTTCGACCCAGATGGAGGGGGAAGGGAGGTCGATCGATCTCTCCTCCACACGTGCGGCTTAAAGTACGAGTTGAAAAGCAGGGAGGAGAAAAAGGGCGAGAAGAGGAGGACGGGGCGCGAAGAAGGCCTATCGAAGGCGGAGGACACGCAAGCGCGAGGAAGGAGAGCGATCAAAATGCCGTGTGGCCAGTCTCGGTTAGTTATCACGCGGTGGTTGCTTAACAAATAATCATTGTACCGGTCGGCACGATTGACTAACCTTTCCATAAACGTAGCGAATGGCGTCACGATGGCCGTGCCTTTTTTGGCCGGGTGTCAGTAAACCGTAGGGAATCGCTTTTGCGCGCACGGGATTCGACACCGGCTTTTAATTTATGCACAAGCGGCCGCCGTGTTCGTGCACGTGCGACGCGTATACGTGACCAACGGAAACAACCATCATCGTCAAACGTTATCCTCGAAAAGTATCGTCGAATCGAATTTTGAAAATCCAATTTTGGAAATGTTCTTTTTTTTACTAGGGCTCGATTCGATATTCGAGGAATTACGTATTCGAGGAATCGAATATGTATCGAATATGTATCGAAAGATGGAGGCTCGAAATTGTATTTGGATTCTTTCAGGATTTCGAAATATTGTTTCATCGGTAGATGGTCGGTGGTTTGTTGAATTACGATATGAATCTTCTTCTTCTACTTTTTTTTCTTTTTCATTGATATCGATATCGAAATCAGACAGAATTTCTTGATTCGACATTGGAATTGGAATCGTGTTAACAAAAATTGCATCGAATTTCGAAAATATCGCGATAGAATTTTCTAAATCTTGTTTAGAAGATTCTGTTTCGAGTAACGAATTAACGAGACGCTATTTTCTTCTACCGACTTAACATTCGACGAATTAATTTCACCGATAAAGTATAAGATATTGGCAAGATAAGATCGGTTTTATTCCAACGATTATATTATTCTCTTCCGATGAAAAAGAAAAAGGAGAGGAGGAGGGAAGAAAGATTTCGCGAATTCCTCCATCGAGATTGGCGAACTGTATCGCGATACGCGCGTGCAAGTATAGAACGTGTCGTTGCAAGACGACCAACACAGGCGACCGTATAATAGACTCATTATTTCTGCTTGCCGGAGCACCGTGTTACGTTATGTATCGCGGCTGTTCGAGGTCTCTGGTTCGACTCTCGCTCATCCTCGCTTTCGACCTCCTCCTCATGGAACCGATGCGTTACGTTACCTCGTGCACAAAACGTTCTCCGCAACGTTTTCCACCCGAGGGATCCTCGCATAATTCGTCCGTTTATTCCAACCGTTTATTATATCGTCCGTTCGATCGCCTCGGATCGTTGTAAAGCAAACAAATCCTACAACCTTCCACCGATCGCTGAATCATCATCGCCGGTGAATACAATTGTTCGATTTCGCGCGCCAACAATGAAAATTAATTTCGTCGCGACAATTTTCTTCTTTCATTTTCTTATATCCTTCGATATTCGATCGAAGCGGAGAGAGGGGCTTACGGTTTTTATGATGTAGGATATTTATATATTATGCTATATATTTAAACACGTAAATAAAGTAGAAAGTTTCTGTAAGAGCAAGCGTGTTCTATTGTATGCAAAATGGACGAGATATGCAAAAATATATAAAAATATGAGCGCGTTTATGGTGATATTATAAATTGGGTTGAGATAAAACATTTTCAATAGAAAATTTTCATCACTTTATCTTTGCTGCGCGGCGAAGAAAGATTTTTCATTTTCGATATCGATAGGTTAATAATAATTAAAAGGAGGGATCGCGTTCGATCGCGTGGAACAGTCGGGTCAAAGTCCGAAATTGGGAAGGGAGTGATCGGGAGGAGGATTTTTTTATTGGACTAAACGCGAGGATGTCGAGAGAGGCAACGGAGGCCGGCGTCGTCTCCATTGTCCGCGGCGAAGCGTGCAGAGGGCCCGACTTTCCCTCGTTCACCCACGGTCACTGCTGCAATGACGTAAGGCCCCCGGCTAGGTAATTGTTACCTACGCTACGAACGCTCGCCTCGTAATGCTCTCCCGTGTTCCTCGCTTCTATTCGACCCGAGCACACCATTCCCTCCCCCCTCCACCACGCGCGTCATCCATGTGTCGCCGATTCCACGCGAGCGAACCTTTCAAAACTCCCCCCCCCCCCAATTTTTCTCCAATTTTTCGAAATTAAATTTAATCCAGTGGAATAACTTTTTTTAAATTCGAATCGAAGCGATCTTCGTTTGCTCGGATATGCTCGATCTAATTGCTATCCTTAATAGAATCGAACTCGATTGGAGGATTTTTAGAAATTAAATTTAAGGAAATCCAGTGGAGTAATTTTTAAATTCGAATCGAAACGATCTTTTGTTCGACTTAATTGCTGATTAATAGAATCGAACGAGTCGATTGGAGGATCGATTTTTAGAAATTAAATTTAAGAAAATCCAGTGGAGTAATTTTTAAATTCGAATCGAAGCGATCTTCATTTGTTAGACTTAATTGCTATCCTTAATAGAAACGAATCAGTCGATTGGAGGATCGATTTTTAGAAATTAAATTTAAGGAAATCCAGTGGAGTAATTTTTAAATTCGAATCGAAACAATCTTTTGTTCGACTTAATTGCTGATTAATAGAATCGAACGAGTCGATTGGAGGATCGATTTTTAGAAATTAAATTTAAGAAAATCCAGTAAAGTAATTTTTAAATTGAAGCGATCTTCATTTGTTCGATGTAATTGCTATCCTGATTAACAATAGAACGAGTCGATTGGAGGATCCAATTTCCACGATCAACTTTTCGAAATTAAATTTAAGGAAATAACTTTATGCATCGATTAGAGGACAATTTCCACGCCCAACTAGCAAGAAGAAAAATGGGAAAATGGACGAAGCGACGAGAAATCGTGGTCGAATGAATGAACGAGACCTCGATTTGCTCCCTCGAATTTTTCCATTGTTCGTCCGTGGAACGGCGAAGTCCTTCGGCTGAATGAATTGCGTCAAGAGTCGAGAGCCGATGAAAACAGCGGAGAATAAGGTGAATCACGTCGGTTTGAATTGCGCACCGCGAATATATCGCAATCCGCCAACCCTTCGCCCCGTGCTTCGGGTGCGAGTCTCGGTTAATGAGCCGACTTCTTCTTCTTCTTCTTCTTCTTTTTCTTTTTCTTCTTCGAGAGGATCGCGGAAAAATGGGTGGGTGAAATCGTCGCTCGCCACCCACCCCCCTCTCCACGACGAGGAACGAGGATCACCAGGACTGTTGAACGAGAAGGCGAACGCAACGACGATAATGAGAGACTTGTGGCAACACGTGCAAACGCGGGGAGATGGTATCACCCACCCTGACGTAACAATGAGAAACTCCTCCGTGCGCCCGCCACTCGCAACGCTTTCCTTAGCCCGCAATCGGGGAAATAAATAAATCGGCTTGTCGCACGGTGGACTTGCTCTTGCAAGTCTTCTCCGGTCAGCGTTTCCCAACTTGAAAATACGAAATAGTAGCGTCGTCTCCTCGAATCGTCCATCGCTTTCGAATATATCAATATATTGGAACGAGTATCGGAGGTATATACCATATGGTAGAACGTGAAGTAGAGATGGTTCGGGCAGAGAGGTTCAATTAAGATTCGTTCCTTGGAATCGTTCGGAGGTGGAGATTTACGCTTACAATTCCTCGAAGGAATTGGGTGGGAAAGACGGATCGGTTGGGAAACGCTGCAAGAGATTTACACCGAATGTCACTCCGTCTGCCTACACCTGACGCGGACAACGACAACGGAATTTCAACGTTCGTATCGTCGGCCGCAGTTTTACACAGGGAGAATCGAGGGGAAGACGGAAAAAAGACAAGGAAACGAACCTTGTACCACCAGGTTCAACCCCTGCTTCCTTCTGATTTATCGCCTCGCGTCCAACGAGAACCTATGTATATCTTAACCTCGATACAACAAAGATCCAGAGATCTTTCAACGTTAATCGATCGATACCTTGGAACGACCAGTGTCTCATTTCCATGAATTACAACATCGAGTCGATTATATCGACGCGAATCCCTGTGTACTTTCCACTTACATACACTCGCGTACACGATCGAAACAGAGGCAGAGAGAAAAGAGAGGAACAGAGAGAAAGAGAGAGAGAGAGAGAGAGCCTCGTTCTATTTCTATGGAGGAGAAACGGAGGAGAGAGGATAGACAGAAGATAAACAGAAAGAGAAACAGAGAGAGAGAGAGACTTACCATCGTTATGATACTGTCTCGAGGGCAGAGAGACCGAGGCGGAAGGTGGTTGCAACGGGGCCCCCGCTTGGTTTCCGCCGTTTTGCGGGCCCGACGAGTTCGAGGTTGCGGAACTCGCTGGCGTCGCTGGACTCTTGTGTTCCGGCGTCGCGACCTGGTGACCACCGCCGCCGCTCTGGTATCCCAAGAAATCACCTAAATCTGGCACGCATACGCTTTCGTACATGTTGCCCGCCACGTTCTCCAGAGAGGCCTTCGCCGCGTCGACATCTGGATGGAAAACGGAACAAACTTTCCTCAGTTCTGCCACCATTTTCCGCGATCACTTTTTTTTTCTTTTTCTTTTTTTTTTTTTTTTTTAATTAAGTCGGCGATCCCTCGTCCTTCGCGCGACAATCCCAGCAATTTTTCCGTAGCACTTTCGGTTGGGAAATCGAAGGGATCGAAATGGAAACGAAGAAAAAGGTCGAAAGAGGGGATGGAGGGGTTTAAATTTAACGCAACGCCTGCTCTCGAGCAGATCATTCGAATTCTGAGCTTTGTAATCGAATATCGACGATCGAATGACGGACGATAAAAAATAATTTGACAAAGTTTCGACGAAATATTGTTCTGTCCAATTAATCCAATTCGAACGATATGTTGTTTACGATTGATGCGTTTTGTTTACACACAAGTAGCGGCGGAGCGACGCGAAGAGGGACGAGCATTGGGGTAATTAATGCTCGCGGTTACGCGATTATAGAATTCCGTGTCATTAAGCCAATTACGTTCACAGCGAGGCGGCGTTAGCCGCGCGTGCAAAGCCTCACTCGGCTCCCTCCCTGCTTTTTTTTACCATTCCGGTGTACAAGAGCGCCGCGAGCATAATCGTGACCAACGATCTTACCCGTGCTTCGTTATTATTACGTCCATTATTGCGAAGGAGACGATTGCCATGATTCATCCACGGATCAAACCGATCCCTACCGTTTCAGAGGGGCGCCAATACGAAACTCGACCAACCCCTTTTCCTTCTTCTTACTCTTCGTCCTCAAATTTTCTATCTTCTTCCAAACGAAAGAAAAGCCAAATCTCTGTCCTCCGGGACGAAAGTTTCGCTCGAATCAACTCTCCCTCTGCCCCTCCCTCTCTCTTCGAAGAGAACGACGTAGCCTCGAATTTCTTTCCTTCCGAATCCGGAAAGAAGAGAAATCTGAGGGAGGGAAGGAAAGGAAGGAAATCCAAGGTTGCGCAAAAGTCAGAACGAAACGACAGAAAATGGGTTTCGCCTGCACGATTCGATATCGTGTATACGCGTGCATCGTGGAGGATGCGGCTTTTTAGTTTCTACTTTTTTTTTTTTTTCCTTTTTTCTTCTTCTTCTTTCTTCTTTTTTTTTTTTTTTCACGGCAGAGATATTTCCTAATATCCGTTCTCGTTCGCGGAATCAAAGCGATTACCCACGCTATGTCGCGTCTACACGCGTGCACCAACACACTCGTGTTGGCTGGTAGCAGCGATTGGTCGCGGGTCACGAGCCTTCTTCCATTGTTCCGCCGTTGTATGAAAGAATCCCGATAAAAATATATATGTATATACGTATATATTTGATTCTCGACATCGAAATTGCGATTTCGTTCCATGTAGATTATTACGCGCTACTTTGTCGCTAACTTTCTCTCTCTCTCTCTTTTTTATATCGAGCGTATCTGCTCTATGATGCACACTCTTATCTGAAATAATTATCCTGGCTCGTTTCGTTACGGAGCCTTTGCTCATTGTTTCCCGATAACCGAGATATCTGTATCAGTTTATTCTTTTTTCCCCCTCCTCTCTCTCTCTCTCTCTCTCTCTCTCTCTCTCTCTTTTACATTTAGAATTATATACGCACAATAGCGTATCATTATTTATTTGTTATTTATTTATGCTAATCGAAAGAAAAAAAAATTTATTCGATTTATTTGTACGATACGATACGTTGAATAATCCTCCTCCAGAGTCTATCGAGTCCATAATTAATTGGTCACGCGATGAGAAGACAAAAGGACAATAATGATAATAAAAAAAAAAAAAAAAAAAGGAAAAGAAGAAACGTCTCGGATGGAAATCGGAAATTCGTCGTGTCTAATCGGGCCAACCCGATTGAATCGCGATTTCCACGCCGATCTGACGACACGAATAATCGATCAGGAAGTACGGGCTTTTACTTAACGGGGAATTAAATCACGGGTGAACCTCCGCTTCCTGCCCGGGAATCATTTTCATACCACTCGGCCGCCCGCCTCCTCTCTCACCCTTCTCGCGTCCTTCCTCCTTCCTGCCCGCAACGCCGAAGATGTACAAGTTCCAAGGAAACTGGCCTCGATACACGATACGAACGGATAATCGAGCTCGATCGGCGGGAGATCCGCGATCGTGGGAGAAAGGGAGAAGCCGGAGAAACTTGGTTTCGCTCGACTCGATTTTATCGATCATTCCCTCCATTATTACGCACAAATGCCTTACGATTAAAAAATTAATCGTAAAATTTCCAATATTCAATTTTCCCTTTCCAAAAGAGAGATCTCCATCTCTGAAAAGTGTCGTCTTCTTCGTATTCAAAATTTGCCGTACACGTGCACCATCCACCCATCGTCGATGAGAAGAAAAATGGAAGGTACAATAAATTGAAAAATTTCGATCGATCGAGGATAGATTTGGAAAGAGAGGCACCTTTGTGTGCCACCAGGGAAGATCCGCCGACTGTGAATGAAAGAAAAGGAACAACGCTCATAGAAAAAAAGGTGCAAGCATTATCCTCGTGCCACGATTTCCACCCTCTTCCCGTGTAAAATCGCCCGACCCGTCGCGAAGAATGCTCTATCTCGTAATCGGAACACGAGTTGGTTGCATGCACACGCTTTGACACACGCGCGCGCACACGTATAGGTGGCGGTCCGAAAACCGCCTAAGTGGCCGAGGCAATGGCACGGGAGCATTCTGGCGGGCACAGGATATCCGGAATGGGAGTTTCTATGCCGCGCGTCTCTTTTTCCCCCTCCCCTCCCCTCCCCCCATTCTCTCCTTCGTTCCAAATAAAAAGTGCCGATTCAACGCTTCGAAAACACACCGAACAGAGGGAAAGAGGATATACGCTCGTCTCCATCTCCTCGTCATTGTTGCCCTCCTCCTCCTCCCTCCATCCCCGGTCAATCTCTCCCTCCTTCTCTCTACGTGTACCTGTGCCCGGTACCTGTGCCGTGACATTGCGATTTTACGGGAATTCGATCTGTATTCTTGTCCACCGGACTATGGGATGGGATGGATGGGTCTCTCCTCCCCTCCTCTCCCCCCCCTTCCATGGAAAACCGATTCTTCCGTTCCAACCTGCTCTCCTCTTCTTTCCATTCCTTCATTCGCGAATCTCTAATAAAAATCGACCCTCCCCTCTTCCTACGATTTATGCCTCCTCCCTCCCCCCCTCTTTTTCTCTCTGGGAGGAGACGACATTCTCACAGGGGGGAGGATGAAATGAAATCTCTCGCGTTTTAATCCACTCGTTGAGCACGGATTTTCTACTCGAGGGATGATCCTCCTCTGAGTAACAGGAGGTCCTCCTCTTCTCCGTTTCTGGGAGGAGGCGAGCGTTCTTCGCGATGAGATCTCTCTCTCTCTCTCTCTCTCTCGCGTTTCGATAATTCGATAATATTCGTAGATTTTTGCGTAGATTTTTTTATTCCTGGGAGGGGAGGGATAAGGGAACGTAACGAAGAAGGGGGAAGAGGGGAAAAGTCACGTACCTTTTTGAAGTATCTCGAGGTGTTCCCACAGGATATCGCCCATGAAGGCCGGAGCACGTGCCAAAAAGGATTCCTTCCCCATGGCACAAATCTGTTTCCCGGTCATGTTCTGCCAGGGTTGTATCGCTACACCCGCGAGGGAGAACTCACCGATGGCCCAGTGCAACCAGTGAGCGACAGCTGCTTCCGACCATTGCCTCGGATCTGAAACGTAATCGTCCAATTCTTCTTTAATCTCTTCCATATTCTTTCGTGTATATATATATATATATATACATATTTTCCAATATTTTTATCTATTCCAAGAAATTACATTATACAGGTGTATAGATAGGCCTCGAATTGAACAATTGTCCAATTGTGAAAATTGAACGCGGAATGTTTTCGAATGGATTGAAAATATAACAAGTGAGATATCGTTGGAGAGTTTCTCTAACGAGTATTAAATAATCATTGAGTAACATTGACACGCCACACCCGTTTTATTAATTTATCAAAGTCGATGCGTAATATATCGACTAATCGACCAGGAATTTCATCCATATTCATATGGAGAGAGAGAAAAAAGAGAGAGAGAGAGAGAGAGAGAAAGGAATTTCTGAATTGTGAATTATTCCAATTGTATCAATAATCTTCTATGATCGATATCTGAAGAGATAGGGGAAATGGTGGCGTATATATATATATATCGATGAGATCGGGTCAAAATCAATTCACAAATAAATGATAAATTCGTTAAATTTCGTCGAATAAAAAGTAATTTTATTATCGTCGATTATTTAAAACCCGGTGACTAATCACGTTTTTTTCAATGCTTTCAAACAGGAAACGATCGATATCTATTCTAATGAAACGACCGGTTCTAATGTTCACATCTCTCATGATAATTTTTTCTCTTTTTTTTTTTTCTCTAATTATTATAATAAAATCGTTATCGTTCATTTGTATGCAAGTTACGATGGAATATCTTTATTGCTTAACTCGCTTAGTTTATCGAAAGAAAAAATATATATAAAGTTTTAATTTACTTTGTTAGGGAAAAAATTCGAAATTTTCAAAACGTCTGCCCAACGTTTCTAATACAATTACAATCGGCAAAAAAAGAAATTGTGAGAAGAAAGAGGTCAACGAATGAGATCACCCCGATCGGATAAATCAATTGGTTGTATCCCCTAATAATAAAACTTTCGAGAACGGTGCGAAACTTTTGAATTTTCTCCGGGATTCTATTCCTATTTCTATTATTTCGAAATCCACTTATATAGATAGATATCGGTATATAGATTGTAAATATAATAGGGAGAATGGGTTAACGCGCGCGTACACGATTTTAACGAAGCGATGATGAAAAAAAAAAGAAAAGAAAAGAAAAATAGTGGGGCACGAGAGGAAAGATTACGAGGCGAGACAAAGGCTTTTCGAAGACGAGAGAGAGATATCGCGTCGGGTTGACGACATGATCGGTGCTCGGGCCCGGCCATCTTTGGTAGAAGCAATACCGAGAAACATTGGAATGTCCCATTTGAGGTGCGCGCCCATATTTGCACGCGTGTCTTGCATTGTTTCGCGGTATCTTCCACGCGTAAAAGTACAGTTCGGCTCATAATGCAAACAGAAATTACGACGAACTCCCCTAACGCGAGGCCTTCTTCCTCTCTTTCTCTTCGCCTCGTGCGCCTTAAGAATTCGTCGAAACGTGCGCAAACGAACCCATTATTACCTACTGCCCTCCGCAATTATATTAATACTTTCACTTTTCTCTTTCTTTTTCTTTTTTTTTTGGTTTCGAATCGATGCAAATATTTCTTTTTAAATTTCATTTATTTTTATTTCTTTAACTTCTCTTATTTTAGGGGCAGGGAAAAGAGAGTAATAACAAGAATTGTTGATCTTTCGGAGTGGATATCCTTGAGAGTCCGTTCGACTCGACGGACCGATATCCAGAAAATTTCACTCTTGAATATAATCGATCGTTATTGGACGACGAAATGGAACTTTCGAAAGTCTAGCGTTCTTCTTTATTTCTAATTTCTGCGAATTATCTACCATTAACAAGATGCTCTTACAAACATTTTCAAGTAACGCAAGATGTATTCAAAATATATTTCCTTAATTTTTAATTCTCGTACGAACTCGAAAGTCGTCTTAATCTGAAAATTTACTTCGCAGAATACAATTGCCTAATAATAATCTCTCTCTCTCTCTATATATATATCAAGATACGATCTCAAAATCACGGGTACTCATTAAGTAATCGCGGATGGGAATAGAGAGAAAAAGAGAAAGAAAAAAAACCTCTTTCAACGATCCGTTTTGTAAAATTAAAAAAGAAAGAAAGAAAGAAAGAAAGAGAAAACCGACAACAAAACGCTTTTACATACGACATCAAAACTCGCTAATTAAGCAATCGTATATAACGGAGACGAAGAAAACGAAAAAGTTTCTCCCGATTACTCCGCTCGCCGTATACGCTTATTACACGAGTTTTGAAACAAGAATGGGCTGGTAGAGGCAACTTTTCGTTTCTTTCTCGATAATCTTCTAACCGGCGGCGTCGGGGATCTGCATATTCCTCTCTCTCTCTCTCTCTGTCTCTGGGTGATGATAATGCACGGCGAAGAATAATCTAATGTAATACAGGACTTTTAACTCCCACCCGCTGTTTCACCTTATCTATCGGCCGATTACGTCGTAGGAAACTAATTGCCTAGATTAGCCTATTGCGGTGCGCTTGATTAAAAGCTGTGCAAGCGAACGAGAGGCAGCGTCCCGAGATCCTCCGCGCCTCTGGTCTCGCGATACCACGCTCCGTAATCGCTTCTACCCTCGCGCTCCAATATCTTGGCGACGCGCCGTTTTTCCGGATTCGTTTACGCCTATTACTCCTATCCAAGCGAAAATTGTATCCAACGCGATTACGATGTGCAATTCGTAACGGATAAGATCTTAATGATTTCTTTAATGGAGGATGAATATTTGTATCGATATTTAAGTCGATAATCGTATTACGATTGAATCGAAAATATATCTTGATATCTTATTAGTCTATCCACTCGAAAGTTATATATATTACGAAATTAGGATATAATTTATGGATAGGCGGAAAAAATAGGAGGAAAAAAGGTGACTAAAGTTTAATAAAGGACGAATATCAATATTTGTTAATCATCGAGGAATCGAAAATATCTCGACGCCTATTATCCAAAACTTATATCGAGGCAATTATGATATTATTCAAGGAGAGGAAAAAATGTACTTAAAGTTTTCTTTAATCGAGGACGAATATCAATATTTGTTAATCATCGAGGAATCGAAAATATCTCGACGCCTATTATCCAAAACTTATATCGAGGCAATTATGATATTATTCAAGAAGAAAAAAAGTTTTCTTTAATGGAGGATAAATATTAATATTTGTATATATATTTTATATTTAATATAAATATTAATATTTATATTAATCGTACGTCGAGAAATCGAAAATATCTCGACACCTATTACCCAGCCAAAAGTTATATCGACGCAATTATGATATTATTCAAGGAGAAGAAAAAATGTTCTTAAAGTTTTCTTTAATTGAGGACGAATATCAATATTTGTTAATCATCGAGGAATCGAAAATATCTCGACGCCTATTATCCAAAACTTATATCGAGGCAATTATGATATTATTGAAGGAGAAGAAAAAAGTTCTTAAAGTTCTTTAATCGAGGACGAATATCAATATTTGTTAATCATCGAGGAATCGAAAATATCTTGACGCCTATTATCCAAAACTTATATCGAGGCAATTGTGATATTATTCAAGGAGAAGAAAAAAAGTTCTTAAAGTTCTTTAATTGAGGACGAATATCAATATTTGTTATATGTTCATCATCGAGGAATCGAAAATATCTCGACGTCTATTATCCAGCCAAAAGTTATATCGACGCAATTATGATATTATTCAAGGGGAAGAAAAAAAGTTTTTAAAGTTTTCTTTAATGGAAGACGAATATCAATATTTGTTAATCGTACGAGGAATCGAAAATATCTTGACGTCTGTTAATTCGTCCGCAATTACGATATAATTCGAGGATAGGCGAGAGGAAAAAAGACGGTTCCCGAACTTTTCTCAATATTTGTTAATCGTGTACGTCGAGGAATCGAAAATTTAGCGCTCGAATCGTGACGACGCCCTATTTTTCTAGATTCGTTTACGCTCATTTCTTTTCCACGTGAAAATTACATCGACGGAAAAATTAAGATAGGGAAGAGGAAAACTGAAGGTGAACGATTCTTGATGAAACTTTCTTTAACGGGAACATTAATTTCTCTATATGCACTCATAGATTGGAACTTTAACGGAAAATGATTAATTCTAGCCGAATAAGTATTGTTCGATATCCAATAAACGTATTCTCCACGCACGAGAAGCCTTCCAAAACTGTTCCAAAAAAAGCGGTTTACACATTGGAAAGGCGTTTGAAAAGAAACGGAGTAATGGTCGAAAGTATGGGGGAGACGAGTGTCGCCACGAGGCGAGATGCGGAGAGGATGGAGAGAGAATTGTGTTAACAGCGGTGACAAGGAATAAGTTGGGCAAACATCGGCGCGATCCTCAAATATCGGCGGCGTCCTCTTTGATCGTGCGCCGTTAGACACTCGCGCGAGTCCGCTCTTTGCTCTCTCTCACCTTTTCCACTATTTATGTATTATCGCCGATCCCTGGTCCCGATCCGTGTGCGCTTTTGCCCGCGCCACCACCGATCCCCGTTTTCCACGAACCTCGTGCCCGCCAGGGATGGCTGCCGCCCCATTCATAAAAACCGACTTACACTCGCGAGTCACGTAGCGGCGAGGATCGGTCACCGCGGCTCCACGATTTCGATACGGCCGTCCACACAAGCACCGACGCAACGTTTCTTCTTCGCGACCTTGTTATGCCTCGTCGGTTACACCTTTGATTTCTCATCCCCTTGACGTGTTCCCTGAACGATGCTCGAGCACCTCGAGATTCGAAGCTATTGGAATCGTCGTTTTCTTTTTCGAAATTCGCGGTGGATTGGACAGCGTTGCGTTGTGCGTTTCATCGACGACAGAATTATTCGATAATTTAAGGATTCGATTATCGATCGCTTCGAAGGATGGAAACGATCTTCTACGCTCTTTGCACAAGATTGTTTAAAGGAAAGATGAATATGAATAATAATCCGTGGAGAAGGGAGAAGGGAAACATTTCAATAGATATTTCGATTCTAATAAATTCAAACGTGAGAACGAGAGCGCGAAAAATACGTAAAGTACCATTCGATGATGCTTCGAGTTTAAGATTCTTTGTCTTAAGATATCGAAGAGAAAGGGAGGATAACGCGAATTTTCTGAAACGTGTCCGAAAAGCACACGGCGATCGCGCCGAGATATGGCCGAGCGGAGATAATGGAAGCGCAGGTGCTCAAAGCTTTCTCGACGATAATCGAGAAACACCGACCGTGATTTCGGTCGGTTGGTTTAGGAAACCGTCCGCCTTATGCGAGACCCGTAGGCCAGTTTACCTACGATACGACGTACCTGCCCTCCAGTGATAAATTTCACCTCGCACAGGTGGACAGGTGGATGCCAATTTCTCTCTCTCTTTTATTCTCCCTTCCCCTCTCCCTTTTTTTCCCCCCCATCTTTTTTTTTTCGTTTCATTTCTATGGATCTCAGTGGCAGATCGACGAGATGCCAGATTACGAGAGCATTACGACCAACGTTTCTAATTAGACCGCCATCTGACGCCATTTTTTTTCTATCATCATTACATCGTCTTATCTCCGATCGGTTTCTTTCTTTCCGCTCCACGTTTCAATTCACTCCAATATCGTTTATTATTTTATTCGAGAAATGTTTTTTTCCCTTTCTTCTTTTTTTTTTTTCTTTCTTTAACAAATTTCGAAAGGAAGGAGGACGTTACTTCTCTCGATCGACGGGGACGAAGAGTTGGAAGAAGGTCTCGGTCAGGCGAGGATTATTGTGACGGTGCGCGCCGTTGACGGGTGGTCGAATCGATACGATGGCGACGACGAGGCCGTGTCTCGATTCGACGAAAAGGCGGACACATCCTTGGCGGCGCTTATTATTCATAAGAAAGGCAAATTCTGAATAAATCATAGGAACGTATGCGTCGATGGTGGTGGGGCGCTCGTGACGTCTAGAAACGCGATCGCGAATGCACGCCGTGTCTCGTTGCAGCAGGTGCGCATCTCCTCTCCTCGTCCACCGTTTGTATAGCACCCGCTGTATCGACCACGTTTCCCAATTATCCCCTCCGATCGATCGAGAAATCACTTCATCGATCAATTAACGAAATAACCTATTGAAAATAATTTCCCCCCGAGAACGAGATCGGATCTTCGTCCCCGAATCTTTTTCCCCCCCTCGAATTTATATACCAATCACTTTCCAAAATCCAATATCACGAAGTACTCAATCGAGTCTCGATCTCGAAATGAATCGTGATCGAATCGATTAAAGGGAAAGAAAGAAAAGGAAAAAGAGAAAGAAAGGGAGGAGAAAGGGGATCCAGTTTGAAAGTGGATCGGCGCTTCGAGGTTGGTGGTTAGGTTCACGGAGGTCAGAGACTGTAGGTGATCTGGCCGGAGGGTACGAACCCGGGGCATGTAGGCCGGAAGTAACGTCACACCCGCGTGGCTCTGAATGCGCATACCGGATGTGTGGCATCGGCTCCCCATCAGAACCATCAACATCACATTCACAATTCTTGCACATCGCCGCCTCGTCGCACATCGCATCACATCGCGCGCGCATCGACGCGATGCACGCACCACCTCCCCCTCCTCCTCCTCCTCCTCCTCCCCCGGTTTCGAAAGGGCCACGAGCGGCCCGCCACGATTTTTCGACAAATTTCACCCGCCCGCGCCCGACCGTGACCGATTGTGCAACGAGACGAGAAGACTGGTTTTTGCCTTTTCGTTTTTCTCCCATTCTTTCGTTCGTTTTTTCTTTCTTTCTTTCTTTCTTTTCTATTTTTCTCTTTTCGTCGCTCGATCGGGGTAATCTTCTCGGGATAAATTGGTTCAAGTGCTTTTTCTTCTTTTTTTTTCTTGGATGATTTTGGAGTTTAAGGAGGATGGATTTTGGACAGTTGAGGTTACGAATAAAGTTAGTTTTTAATAATTTGTCGTTCAACGCGTAATAATTGTACTGGTTGGACGAGAATCGATTATAATAACCGCGAATAAATTTAAGCATTTAGTGATAAGTAATTGATTAAAGCGATACTTTATTCCAGATTTTTAACTTTAATTATTTTTTCAACGCTCAACTCTGATTTTGGAATTTTGAGATTGGTTGCGTTATAGCGTAGAATGTATGTACGATATTTGAAGGATGAAGCGAGACAGAGAAAATATACAATGTTACGTCAATTAAAACCTTGGCTGATTATGCGGGCAATAATAAGTATCGATGCAAAAACAAGATCAATAATGTTTCTTATTTTTGATTAAATAATTGCATTTTAATGGTGATTAATGTTCGACTTATATCGATTTATTTATCATTAAATGACAATTTAAGCAGATTAAAATTAATAACATCTCTGTTTTACTTTAATATCGATCTATAAATATTGACAAAAAAAAAAAAATCATTGAAATAAAAAGAAGAAGAAATAAAAAAAAGAAATCACTCACGCATAAACGAATCGAGTAATCGATATGCAAAGAAGAAAATATGTTTTTTCATATGAAACCGTCAAAGCTCGCGAATCAGGACGCGCTGTATCGCGGTAATGAGAGGATAATTAGAAATCGTCGAGAAACCTGTACGCCATGAAACGCGCATAAAGAGAAGGGAGCAAAAAAAGAGAGAAAAAAAGAAAAGAAAAAAAAGAAAGAAGGAACGTTTTCCGCGAGATTGGGATATACGTGTATCGAGAGAAGAAGAAGAGGAAGGAAAAAAGGCGGCACTCACCTTTGGTTATGTTGAGGCGGACTCGTTCCTTCTCCCAGGAGGCGAAAGAGGCCTCCAGGGCCTCGGTCATCTTCTTGTTGGTCCCAGGTGTTAACGGCGGCACTTGTGCCGGTATATCTGAAACGTGATGATACATCCCCCTTTATTAAATCTCTCAATTTAACCTCGATTTATTCGAAAATCTTAGATTCTTCTACACCTCGAGGAAAGGGGATTTAATAAAAAAAACTCGAAAAAAAAGTAGTCGAACAAGCATTCTTCAGATTCATCTGGTTGGGGAGATAAAATTTTAATTGAAGAAATCTCAATCTCTTAAAAAATCCCTTAAAAATTACATCATAGTAATATCCTTCCCCCAAGAAATATCCATAACCAAAACCTTCAAAATCCTAAACTCCTCTCTTGAACAGAGCCGCGCATTCGAGGAACCTACCAACAATATTCCCTACCAAAATCGTCGGTAGGTGGTAAACTTTCCTCGTTTCTCGAAGAGAGCGAAAGAAAGAGAGAAAGAGAGAGAGGCAGACTTGGAAGAATCGGGACCGGTGGATGTGTGAGAAGCCAGGTTAATGGTACTTCTCACAAAGCGGCGTGCACGCGTCATCTTTCGGAGAGAGAGAGAGAAAGAGAGAGAGAAAGAGAGGCGCGTGTACACGGAGGAGGAGTGCGTCAGGTGTCGCGGCGGCGGCGGCGGCAGGAGCAGCGAAAGCGAGCAGAGGCGAGGGGGGCATGCACACCATCCTAGATAGCATCGTCGTAAAGAGGGGTGCAACTGGCGGGCAGGTGCAGGTGCATCGTCGTTGTAGGTACGCTTGCTCTATGCCGCGCACAACTCGGCGTACGCCTTATGGCGCGATGCTCCTCTTCTTCTTCTTCTTCTTCTTCTTCTTCTTCTGCTCTGCGATGTGTATTATTCTTTGTCCTCGATGTAGCGGGGAATTTTTAAAATTCGTGAATTTGACGAGATCGTCCTTTGGCGCGATATCCCTCCTACTCTTCTTTTTCTTCTTCTTCTTCTTCTTCTTTTCATCTTCTCCTTCGCGATGTATTATTCTTTGTCCTGGAACATAATAGGCTTTTGGAATTCGTCGAATGGAATTTTGTCCTTTGTTCTTTTCGTTGCTCGATTCCAATTAACGTTTTTTTGGAAGTTGAAGAAATTCTTGCTCTTCGCCGCCATGTATTATTCTTCCGAATATAAATAGACTTTTGGATCTCGACGAGTTTCTTCTTTTTATTGTTGAGTTATTAATTTTTGCAAGTTGAAGAAATTCTTGCTCTTCGCTACGGTGTATTATTCTTCGTTCCACGAATGTAAATAGACTTTTGATGAGTTTCTTCTTTTTATTGTTGAGTTATTAATTTTTGGAAATTAAAGAAATTCTTGCTCTTCGTTACGATGTATTATTCTTTGTTCCACGAATATAAATAGACTTTTGGATCTTAACGAGTTTCTTCTTTTTATTATTGAGTTATTAATTTTTGGAAATTAAAGAAATTCTTGCTCTTCGCTACGATGTATTATTCTTCGTTTTACGAATGTAAATAGACTTTTGATGAGTTTCTTCTTTTTATTGTTGAGTTATTAATTTTTGGAAATTAAAGAAATTCTTGCTCTTCGCTACGATATATTATTCTTCGTTTTACGAATGTAAATAGACTTTTGATGAGTTTCTTCTTTTTATTGTTGAGTTATTAATTTTTGGAAATTAAAGAAATTCTTGCTCTTCGCTACGATGTATTATTCTTCGTTCCACGAATGTAAAAAGACTTTTGATGAGTTTCTTCTTTTTATTGTTGAGTTATTAATTTTTGGAAATTAAAGAAATTCTTGCTCTACGCTACGATTCTTCGTTCGGAATATAAATAGATTTTTGGATTTCGATGAGTTTCTTCTTTTTGTTATTGAGTTCCATTAAGCGTTTTTTTTGAAAGTTGAAGAAATTCTTGGTCTATACATATAAGATTAGAGCTTCTCTTCTTCTTTGCGATGTATTCTATTCTTTGTCCAGAATGTAACGGGTTTTTGGAACTCGTGGATTGGACTTTGATGAGATTTGACGCGATTGCTTTTCTTTTTCTTCTTTTCTGCGATGCACCATTCTTTCTCCTGGAATAGAGCTCTTGGAATTCTTGAAATGGATTTTGACGAGGTTATTCTTCGTTCTTCTCTTTAGCAATTCCAATTAGCAGCGCGTTTGAAAGAAGTCGAAGAAGTTGTTTCACGAGGAGGAAAGTGTAGATTGAGATCGATAATTGCACCCTGGTCTGCTTAACACAAGAAATTTGTTTTTTTTTTTAATGATGGAATCGATCGAGATATTTTTGGAGAGTTCATTCCGAAAATGATGCGTTCGAACGACGGAGAGAATTCCCTCTATCGTTTGAAATTGCGCAATTTTATATTTGCAAATGTGACGGGTTGGGATTAAGCAATATATCACGAGCAATTAGTTTGACAACAACGTTGGTTAGGATAAATGAAGTATTATGCATAATTTTCTCTTTTGTTACGGACACATTCGAGGGTGAAAAGATCAAGATCCTAGATTAGACCGTGACTTCATAGCTATTAGCGATACAATAGGTTTGAAGAAACCCTACTCGATTCCATTTAAACTATAACGACCCCGTTATATCTTCCATTGCAACGATCGCATATATGTACACACTCAACACGGGAAGCGTATCTTTTTATCCGAAGAAAGCAAAAGACCCGTGGTCGCGTGTGTTACCAGGCCACTGGTCGTGTTTTCATACCCGCCAACCACTGTATCTTATCAAAGGCCTCGCGCTGCCTTACGTTTCTTCCGTTTTCGATAAACAGAAATTATTCTCCGTCCAACGGCCAAACCTCGCCCCTCCCTCTCTCTCACATCGCGCACCATTCTTCTAAAACCTCGTTCAATTTAAACCAAAACGTCCCTCTTTTATCTACTCGGATCGTAACCAAATATCGCTCGCCTATATTTGAGAATACTATAGAACGAGAAAGAAGGCGAGAAAAAAGGGAGGGGGGAAAAAAGCGGACGAAAGCGAAGTTGGCGCGAAGGTTGCGGCGTCGAGGAACTTAGGATGGCGCGCCGCGATAAAAATCGCGTTTCCTCGGGGATATCTGCACAGCTGGATTTGCATGGGTATAAGCTCTTCCAACGGCGTACCGCCGAAAGTCCATTAAGTATGTATGGCGTGCAGGCACGGTAAGTCTCCCATAAGCACCTTTGTCTCTACTCGTGTGCGTGCCAGCCACGCACGAACACGTGCGCGCCGGAAATTTGCATACCGGCGCGCGGTAACGAACGTACAAAGTATCGTCGTCGTTTCTCGTCGAGGCTGGCTAGAGAAACATCGGCTCTCGTTTCCACCTTCTCCTTAAATGGTTCTCGCGAATTTGACACGCGATAGAAATAATAATAAAACGATTCTTTCTTTTTTTTTTTTTTTTTTTTTTTTTAAACGGATTTCAATCATTCGCGCTCGTTTCGAATTCGATAGACGCGTCGAAATTTAGAAGGATATCTATCTTCTCCATCTATTTATTTCTCGTATTGATTTTGACATTTCCTACTCTCCCAAGGGTTGTTTTTAATCCTTAACCTCGAATCGAAAATGGTAAAATTGTATATTTTTTCCCCCCTTTTCTTCGTACGGATTAAAAATATATCTCGATTCGAATCGTGATTTGAAAAAAATTGGTAAGGTTGTTCGAATCGTACGAACATCTACGATGTTGATAACGTTTTGAAACGGAACGTGACTGGCGTTTCAAGGATAACATCGCCTCTTTCGACTGCATAATTAATCACAAACCTATATATATATATTTTTTTTTTCTTCTTCTAATTATTATTTATCGTTTAATTTATATAATTATAATCTATTACATTTATGCATCTAATCCAACAATTTTCTTCCTTCCTTCCTTCCTTCCTTCCTCTATCGGACCTCGATACCAACTTTTTTCCTCTCATCTCGAACGTTCCTTTGCAATCCTTCCAACAATCGTTTCAATCATTCCAATATATATATATCCCCGATCGACGAGCTCGAAAAATTACAATTCATAACACGACTTTCAACTCCTCTTCAGAAACGAAAACCGTGAAAACCGTGAAAACAATCCTTTTCCTCTCGTGTATAATTCAATCGCGGTTTTCCTTCTCGACAAATGCTCAAAAAAAAAAAAAAAAGAAAAATTGCCGCTTCTATTTCGATCCATTGTGTTCTTTCCGCGAAACTGCACACATCCGATGGATCCCCGGGTGCAAAGTGTATCAGCCGCGACGCGGAATTATTCATCGCGACCACTTTGACGAGTGCGCGTGGTGGAACGTGTAATCGAAGGAGGAGGAGGAGGAGGAGGAAGAAAAGAAGAAGAAGAAGAATCGTACGATTGGCAAGGATCGAAGAGGCGAAGCCGCCGCCGGAGGAGTCGAATTGAAAACCCACGTGCCACGGCGCAACGCTTGCCCCGTGCTCGGAATAACGATCGGGCCACATTTGCAGGAACGACGCCTGTGGCTGCCTCGTTGCGAATGCCGCGTATGATCGGCCGCGACGAGCCCTGCCCGCAAATGCTCCATCTCCCCCCTCGCCTCGAGCGGAGGAGAGGAGAGCAAGAGTTTTCGCTAGATTCGAGATGAATTTACGGCACCAATTTTTCACCACCGCGTGAAAATTTAAGATGGAATGTTATTCCGTCCATGGATGGATCGAATTTTTCGAGGAATTTTCGAGAGAGTTTCAACGGGATGCTGAGAATTATACTCGGGGAAATTTTTTGAATCGTTGCCTGGAAATTTTTCAACGGCCGACTTTTATTCGATCGTTTTTTATTCGTTTTATCCTCGTTCGTTTCGAGGAATATTCGCGAAAGTGAAACGCTCGAGGAATATTTAAATAGGAAAGTTGCCTTCTTGCGTACGATTTGTTCGAATGGAGGGATGAACAAGGGTATTAAGGAATTTAACCCATTTCTCCGCCGCGGTAAAAATGTGCACAACACTCGAGAAAAATCGTCAACGGCTGCGTTCACGCCATTTTTCATTTGGAGAGTGATTTTTATTATCGAGGAAGAAAGAAATTAAATATTATAAATTTCCAGAGAAATACACTCG